ATACTGCTGGATCTTTAATGTTGTGGGCCTATTTTTCTGCCGGAGGTCCTGGATATCTTGTTCAGATATTGGCATCATGGATCCTATCAAATACCAACAGATAAAAAATCTAAACCTGACTGCCTCTGTTAGAAATCTTATAATAGGCCGTGGTTGGATCTTCCATCAGGACAATGATCCAAAACAAACATCAAAATCAACACAAAAATCTCTCACTGAGCACAAAATTAGATTTCTGCCATGGTCGTCTCAGTTCCCTGACCTGAACCCTGTAGAAATTGAGTGAGGTGAACTAAAGAGAAGAAGCACCAACATGGAGCTGTGAATCTGAAGGGTCTGGAGAGATTCTGGATGAAGGAATGGCCTCTGATCTCTTGTCAGGTGTTCTCCAAACTCGTCAGGCATTATAGGAGAAAACTGAGAGCTGTTATCTTGGGAAAAGGACGTTGCAATAATTGGGTGCCAATAATTGTGGCTAATGTGAACTAGAGAAAAACATTTATTTCAGAATAAGATTTCCCCCCCACTTTCCATTGTTTTACTTCAATCATAGGTTTGAAATTTTTTTTAATGAAAGATCAAAAAGATAGATGATGCAGCACCAAGGGTGTCAGTATTAGTGGTTGGCACTGTATGTAACTTTTTTTGGTTCATGTTTTTAAGCTGTGGAAGAAAACGTTTTCTCTCAGTAATAAGACTAATAATTATTATTTCTAGATGTAATATTTAATAATAGGCAGAACATGTCATGTTTTATGATAAAAGTAATTGTCTTTTTGGCTTTTTTCCAGATGTAGAGATTTCAACATCCCCTAAACAAGAGCGAGTCGAGAAGACTGAGGAAGAAGAGACAAAAAATTATGAAGAGTGGAAAAGAAAAATCCTTGAAAATGCATTAAAAGCAAAGGCGGTAGATTCTTGAACTCTGTAAGGTTTTATGTTTCCAATTTATTTAATTATCGTTCTGCATAATGTCAACAGGTCCTTCCAGGAGCTGGATTTAATACTCTGTATTACTAAGAGAAGTTGTCGGCCCCCTTCTGGCTTCTTGGTTTCATAATTTCATTCACATATGGACATTTCCAGAGGCACTTTTTATTATCCTTTTGATTTATTGCCATTTCCTGGTGCAACGATGGTTACTTTTTATATGACAGCTTTAATATTGTGCCTGTTTAATAAAGGTTTGCTAAATGATACGTTCCTTGCTTAGATAATGCATTTTAAAATTGCAGTATTGTATCTTCATGTAGTTTGCGTGTTAATGTTTGTTTAATCCATCATGATTTGGATGATTGTCTAATGACAATATGATTTTATTTCTCAGTGTTCTGTGGTATTGCTTTGAATCACCGTTGAAAATCTCATAGGTGGTGGTGAATGTTGCATTTAAGATCATCTGGGTGTTATCCATTTGTTTCAATAAGGAATGGCTCATCTTCTTCCAGTTTGGTTGGATTTTAATATGAACAAAATGTGTATTCTTGACCCAATTAAGTTTTATCAGTTTCTCAGGTTTTTTTATTTTTTATTTCTTGAATAAACACTAATTCTCTTCAGGCAATTTGTGACAGTCTGTATTATGCTGAAAAATACCCAATACAATGATTTCTAGATAAGCACACACTATGAACTATGACAGAAATAGCAAACAGAACTGCCCTATAATTTTGTGCTAATTTCGGTGTACTCGTATGCTAGTTGCCATGCCAAGAGTAGAACCACCTTTGTGTATCTATTTGTGGTTCTGCTATTACCATATGAATGTGTGCAAAAGCAATAAATTCTTAGAAAGCAAAAAATTTCAAGTCACAATATTGACATCAAAATATTCTGGAACAACCAGTAAAAGGTTTTAAATGCAAATTTAGAGAGAAAAAAAACATGCCAGCTGAGTCTCAATCAGATTCTGTTTCCAGTTCTAATCAACATGCTAAACAAAGATAAGAAATATAGGATGAATACAGTGTTTCTACATCAAATCTTCATGCTATGTTTTTTATACTAATATAAAATACGGAATCATGAGAATGAAGACCATTTTAAATACTAGTATAAGGCAGTAGTGCCCAAGAAAAAGGCCTTCACAGAAGGGACGAAAGCTTTTTCATGTGGTTCAAAAGCACATCCTGCAATCTATGCCATACACTCCTGGTGTGAAAGCATGATAAAGAAGTGAATTAAATGCATTGGTGTTCCAAACAAGGTACATTAAGAAAATGTGACACTTTTTAACAAGATACTTTTACACTGGCTATTAACATACAAGAACATATAAAACACTTCCTAAAAAGGCATTTCAAATATTCAGACAAGTTCCACATGTTCCAGTGTGCGATGTTGGTGATGTCCTCTCGTGCTACTGACACTCTCCTCCAGGTTAATAATTCGGACTACTAACTGATCTGCTCTGCTGAAACCTCTTCAACCTGTTTGCTGCAGCAACCGCATAGAAATGTTTCTGTAAAAATAAAGTTACCATAAGAACAGGAACATGTTATACTGTTATGTGGTACAATACTACAACACCATATGTTCTAAATCCATTTGGAATCAAACACATGTACAGACTCATGACTCCATACCTTCCACTGGCGGTGAGCAGCGAGGTAACGCTGAAGCCTCATCTGAGACTTCAGTCGAACTTTGCACATCTTGGCCTTGTCCTCCAGGTTATTTAGCCAACTATGCTTCATGCACCCTGATGCACTCATACGGCTGCTACCATAGAGACCACACACACAAACACACACCCACACATTGTTTTAAAAAATGTCCGGTGCTCAAAGAAATAATCAGCTCCATAAGATGCAGTATACAGTTTTCAAGCCTTAGAGATGTTTTGATCATTATGCTGATCGAGCACTTTCCATATAGACAGGACATCAACAAATATGTGACCCTGGACCACAAAACCAGTCATAAGATGAATAAATAAGCTTTCCATTGATGTATGGTTTGTTAGGATAGGACAATAGTTG